CCCATTATATATTCATATTTATACATTCCTTAAGTACCTATAGGCACTTAATAATGTGCTTTTAAAATAATCCGTCTATTGTCTTGTATATTATGAATTTAGTCTAAAGTATCTAGGTGAAACAAGATGCAGTTATATGATATGTAGTTATGCAGAAAGTCACATACAATTATTTGTTCATTTATATTTTGTATTATAATTTATTGTATTTTTTTTTTTATGTACTAAAGCTCCATCGCACCATAGTCCGCACGCCGCACTACTTCTGTAGTTCTGTTCGCAAAACCAGCATACGCGATTAATTAACTTTAATTAATAATAAAAATTAAAAACATCACCAGCATCCCACCAATTCTCTCAACGACGAGTACCTGATCACACAGGAACATTCGTTTATGCTTATTTTTCTTTTTCTTTCTGCCACCTGCGGAGACACCCCGGTGCCACGTATTTCTAACTTCTATAGGTAATGGCTGTGTTAATCAAAAACATGTGACCACTGAAGTTTTTCTTAAAGATCGCGTCACCGAACGTGATGGTTAGAACGTTAGAAGGATAGACAAACATCGACGGGTGTCTGATCATTTCTATAATATGTAGTTGTGTATGTACCTTATATCTATGATTATTATTTTTTTAGTATCTAGCCGGTACAAAATATGTACACTATTTTATTATAAAATATATACATATTTTTCTCATATTGTAGACCGGTGATCGTCTAGTGGAGTTATTGGAGTCACGCACGGTATGAATTATATACACATATTATTAATATTATGATTATACAAATATCTGTTTTGTCACGGCGTCTGATCGTTATTATACTTATTGTTGTCTAGTCCCGTTTTTCCATTCCGAGTTTCACACCCGTTAAGCTTACTCGGCACCAACTTAGTATGTACAATTTACCAATCTAATTTTCGTGTCTTGAGTTTTATTTATTATTATTCCCCCGTTTCCCACATTTCTATCATTTAGATACTTTACAAAGAACACAAATCCACGACGCTCGACTTACAAGTTTTTTTTATTCTTTTGCTTTACCAAATTGTAGAACGATCACAATAAGCCAATAATTATTATCGGTGTACTAACGAGCCGGCAGTCCACAGAATTGTCAATCAAACATGGTTAGTGGGAAATCGGTGTCATTTTTTAGTACCTAAGTGAGCACACGACAGTAAAACGTTACGTAATAATACAAATGACGACGGAGTAATAGCGCTAATAACGACGTAACGTCACGACGGCACACAAAACTGGATTAGGAGTATAATGATTAATGAGTACCTATGTGACCGAAGACGCACCGTAATATAATACAGATGCAATACAGCAGTTCACGTACAAAAGCAACGACAGACGAATCGATTACCGGTATGGGGTCGGCGACGGAACGGTAACGCATGACGAACAGCCTGCGAAGATAAGCGGAAAACGATGAACGTACTGGCTCGATTTGAATTTCCGGAATGGTGAGTAAGCCGTGAGATGTGGTGGCTACGCCACACACAAATGTATAACAAAAAGACACCAAAATAAATGTCTTATCGACGGTCGATAATCGACCATCAACGATAGACGTCGTACGATATATCGTTCAAATGGTATTTTGCATATGCACAAACAGCGTATTAAAAAATTTTACGTCACTGGCGGACAGCTTCCGCACAGTGCAACAGTAATGCTGATAATATTATCCATCAATAATCGAAAAAAAAAACAAACAAACAGGCAAATACTGTCGTASGGCTACGGCGGCTAAATACAAACAATGGCCAATGGTTCAAGATTTTTAAATGATGGTTGACTACGGCTGAGTTATAATAATATGTCGATTATTTCGGCAGTATTAGCGCGACGGAAGTGGAACACAAATATTTATATTATATGTATAACGGCTGCGTGGTTGCACGACACACTGTTCATATGTATTGTATTTATATACTAGCTAGTTATCTACTAGCTTTCTCACTCGGCGTTACGCTTATCGAATATCATCTTATTTGCGAGCTGAAAAAAATGCATGTGTGAGCTATTTATTACACCTCAGCTTGTCTCCATCATTGCATGCCGTTAAGTCGATGCCATACATCTGCCGATTATACACACAATATTGTAATTTTTGTTATTTGTCGGTGTTTGCTATTTTATTTCGATTTTGTTAACATCAGTGTTGTTCGAGAACGATATAAAGCGGAGTTTCAGCGGACGTATATCAAGTGCGGTTGACGTGGATTGAATCTTACCTTAGGGAACTTTTTCTCGTCACCTCTTGCTCGCTCACAGAACTCTGTCAAGGTTGTAACGTCATAATAATTGGACTACATATTGTTGTTAATTATTACTCGTAGTCCATACTGATTACAGACCTATACATCCACGTGCTTTTAACATGTGTTAGGTGTACCCATTTCGTTGTGATCGGCTACCAGGAAAAGGCGGGCATGCACCTGTTGTCCCCAATAGTACCTTTTTTATACCAATTCTCTTCAAACTACCTTTTATTATTTTACACAATTTTACTTTTTTTTATAAATAATTTTATATTTTTTTCTATTATTCGTATACTGCAGGGTGTCCCGTGAGGATTTACCCATTGCGATAKTTCCCGAAATAATGGTGATATCGAAATTCTGGTTTTGTAATTAGACTCACAGGGATAAGAACTACAATTATTTCATATTTTAATTTATTTTAATGTTTTGGTAAAAAAGTTAAAAAATATATTTTTAGTTTTTAGTTTCGAGAAAAATTGCGAATTATTTAACACCGTAATGTTATCAAACATGTGAGATGTGACCCGCCAGCCGCGCGCATTCCTATACGGCCGGCCGAATATTTTCCGTGTTCCTAATAGTTATAAATTTATTTTATATTTTATTCCTTCAAAACTAGAAAAAATATTAGAGAAATGTTCCCCAGCCCCGTTATAGATTTTTGAATTTACGGTTAAACCAGTACCTATCGCACAAATTCTGAAATTAGTCACACAAATTCACACTAATGGCACACTAAAGTTTAGCAAAAAAAAAAAAAATCAAAAATTATACTTGGGGGGCTGGCGAAATGTACGTTTATAATTTTATTAAAGTTTTAAATCCTACAAGTATTATACCAGGTGATTCTTTTATCATTGAACACTCATTATTTCAAAAATTATTAATGTTTTAGAAAATATTATTTTACATAGTTTCAAGTTATTCAAAAACCAACGTTTTTATAAAAAAAAATTATTTTTAAATATTTTTTATCCTTATCATTTTTTAAGTGTTGTACTTTTTTGAATGACAACATAAAGTTTTAATTTCATATTCTGCTTTAGAATTTGTATAATCATCATGAGAGTTATAAATAATGAGTCTATCACGGTTTTATTCTTCTTGATAGTGTTTTGCATTAAATATGTTTAGATTATATACTGTAGTCTTCATTGAGTATTAGGTACTATAGTGATAATTTTTTTTTTTGTTCCTTAAAACATATTTGCCTGTAGGCGCCAACTTCCCTTTTAAAATTTTTTTCATCATTTTATTCTAGTTGAATTTGTGAAAACAATTTTTCAATTTTCAATTTTAATTGAAAGTAGTGTCACTGGACACTCCCTTCCCTCAAGATTTTCATGCCCTGTAATATATTTGATCATATTTACTTATTATATAAATTGTATATAGATTGTAAATTTTTTTAAATAAAAAAAAATTTTCAATATCATCATGAGAGTTATAAATAATCGTTCTATCACGATTTTATTCCTTTTGGTAGTGTTTTGCATTAAATATGTTTAGAGTACCTACCTACTGCAGTTTTCATTGATTTTGTTAGTAGTGATAATTTTTATCTAAAATTCTTTTTTAAATTTTTTGTTGTTCCTTAAAACTCATTTACCTACTGGTGCCTATCTCCTCTTTCAATTTTTTCATTTCATCACAAAATCATGATAATTGTTGCGTTAAAAAATTTTCAATTTATATAATCATCTCCCCTCTTCAATTTTTATATAGTTTTATATACTAAACTCATCATTGAGTATAACTAGTGATAATTTTTTTTTGTTCCTTATAATACATTTGCCTGCGGGTTCCAACTTCCTCAACCAATTTTTTTTCCATCATATAACTCTTGATAATTTTTGTGTTAACAATTTTTCAATTTTAATAATTTTCATGAAACTTCTACTTAATCTGCAGTCTAGCACGATTTAATTATTCTGAATTTACAATAGTGTTTCGCTTTAAATATGTTTAGATTTTATACTCAGTCTTCACTGAGTATCAGGTACTAGTGATAAATTGAATCCGAGATAAGTTTGGTACATTTTGAAAGTGGTAAATTGAGTCCCGGGTAAAAATAGGTAGTAGGTAAGTTGAGTCCCAGAAAATATAAGGCAGTAGGTAATTTTATTTGAGTCCCAAGGAAAAACGATTTATATGCATTTAAAATTTAAAAATGTGCACTATAAAATTTTTATTTGTGATTTGTGGACAATTCATTGACTGCATGTATTATATGATTTTGAAAATAGCAACATGCATTATTATTGCATAAAAAATAATTATATAATTAATAAAAATACATGTTGCTATTTTCAAAATCATATACATGCAGTCAATGAATGTCCACAAATCACAAATAAAAATTTTATAGTGCATATTTTTAAATTTTAAATGCATATAAATCGTTTTTCCCTGGGACTCAAATTACCTACTACCTTATTTTTTCTGGGACTCAACTTACTTACTACCTACTTTTATCTGGGACTCAATTTACCGAGTTAGGGTCATTTGGGACTCAATTTACCAACCCCGTCTAAATCATGGTCTTAGAAGCTGATCTTCTAAGACCGTGTTCTAAACTGAACTTATATTTTTCTTCCATGATACTGATAATAAATATAGTGATTACTAATTAGTGATATAAACCGTTTTTTTTACCTACTGATATATTTTAAAACTAATAAACTATACAATTTTTAAATTTAGAATGAAAGATGAAACTTCAAACTATAATATCATTTATAAGATGTGTGTATTACGCGTACTATTCGTTTTTCTATTTAGATTGATGTTGTTAAATGTTTGTTTTCATAAAATCATAAGTTATTAACTTAAAACTAATAACATCCGATAAAAGTATTATTTAATTACAATTTTAAGATGAAAAATATTAGTTTAATTTCGGATGTTTCGACGCAGAAACGACAATTAGAAACAACATTTGATGGAAACTCTCAAAAACGTTTTCACGTTGACGATGATAATGATTTTTTTGGTTTGCCACACAAAGTAAAACATTTGTTTAAAAAGCACAAAAGAATTACACAGCTTTATGGTTTGAATTATTTTTATTTTTAAGTGTTAAGTCTAAGATATACCTACCTATATGGTTGTATGTTTGTAATAGTATTATATTTTACACATAGATTGGCAAATTGAATGTTTGAATTTAGAAGCGATAAAAACTAGAAAAAATTTAATTTATGCTTTGCCTACAAGTGGTGGAAAAACACTTGTAGCAGAAATTCTTATGCTTAAAGAACTCATACTTTATGAACGTAATGTTATATTTATTTTGCCATATGTTGCCCTAGTTCAAGAAAAGGTATCCAGTAATTTATTATAAAATTTACAAAATGTATTGTAACACAATTTTTGATTTAGGTGCAATCCTTATGTCCATTTGGGCTTAACTTAGAATTCAATGTTGAAGAATATGTTGGTGGTAAAGGGAAACATCCTCCAATTTATCGTAAACGTAAATCATCATTATATGTGTGCACTTTAGAAAGAGGAGCTGGACTAGTTGATTGTATGTTGTCTGATAATGGTCAATTAGGTGGACGGAGTGTTGGAATGATTGTTGTTGATGAACTGCATCTTCTTGGGGAACAAAAAAGGGGTGCTTTATTGGAAGCTACTCTTACAAAAGTTTTAGATTTTAAGCAGTCTAAGGGTAAATAATACCTAATCAATAGTTTTGTATTATCATTTTTTAAATATTTACTGTGGATGTTAACTATAGATAATATTCAGATAATTGGTATGTCAGCTACAATTGGAAATATGCAAGAAATAGGTGACTTTTTAAATGCTCACGTATATACAAGAGATTTTAGACCTGTTAAGCTCACTGAAACAATAAAATTGAACGAAAAAATATTTGTGATAAATAAAGATATTGATGGTTCTTTAAAAATTAAACTTGATAGAAAATTAAATTTTGAAGTAAGTTTATCCTCTTGAAAATATATTTTTGATTAGAAATAATAACACATTTTAATTAGGATTATTCAACCAATTTGAAACAATTAGACCCCAGTGGTATAGGCCTACTAGTTCGTGAAATATTGCCACATGGTAGCTGTTTAATTTTTTGTCCTACCAAAAGTAGTTGTCAGAGTATTGCCAAAATTATCTATAAGACAATTGGATGGTAAGCATTACTTTCAGTAAGACATTCTTATCATTAAAAACTTGTAAAAGGTTGTAATATTTTATAAATCTAATAGTGAAGAAACACAAGTTAAACTTAAACAAAAAGAACAACTGTATAAAGCATTGAAAGAAGAAGGTGACGGTAAAGTATGTCCTTTATTATCCAGAAGTATCCTCTTTGGAGTCGCATATCATAATTCAGGTATGACCTTGGATACATTACATTATTATAATATAATATAAAATATGCTTTTAAGTACCTATTAAATGTTTAGGCTTAACAAATGCTGAACGAAAACTGATAGAAGAAGCTTTTCTGGATGGTATTCTTAAATGTATTTGTTGTACATCAACATTGGCAGCTGGTGTAAATCTTCCAGCTCAAAGAGTAAAATTAATCAATTTATATTTTAGAACTTTAGACCACTTTGTTAAAAATCTATTAGATTTACAATAGATTCAGCACTTCTATAATTAGAAATTACTTAAAAATATTCAATCGCAAGTTTTCTTTATTGAAATTCAATAATTATTGTTGCTGAAGAAAGAAGTGTGAAACACCAGTTCTTGGACCTACTCATCATGCATTACTGCTCATCTTTATTAAAATTAAAGTTATATTTTTAATTTATTAGGTTATAATAACATCGCCATATGTTGGACGAGACTTTATGAAACAAAGCACATACAGACAGATGGTAGGACGTGCTGGTAGAGCAGGTTTGACAGAAAGTGGTGACAGTATACTGTTATTTCAAGAAAATGATAAAGAAAAGGTTAATATGAGTACATTATAATTTTACAAATGGTTTTTTTTTTTTTTATAATAATTATTACAGTTGACATATATTATACTAACACACATGTACATATTTGTATGGAATTGATGATAAAATGTATCAATTTACATTTATAATAAAATTAAATCCAAATATTAAATTAATACATTCCTTTGATTATAATATATAGCTATTAATATTTTAATTTTAGATAAAAGTATTACTAGAAAGTGGTGTTGAACATATTTATAGCTGCCTCGGGACAGAAGAAAATGTAGTTTATTCAATGATATTAAGCTCTGTAAGTACAGGGTGTACATCTAGTCAACAACAACTGGTAGACTTGATGAAGCGTACACTTTTTATTCGACAAGCTGAGAAAAATAACACTGAATGTACAGTTGCATCAGACCTAGTAGAATCATGTTTAGATAAATTAAAATCAATAAATGCATTTGATAAGCCAATTGGAGATAAATTAAAATTAACATCAATTGCAAAAGCTGCAGTAGCTGCCAACTTGGACATATTAGAAGCTCAAAAATTATATGCAGAATTATTGGAAGCCTCAAGTGCATTAATATTGACTAATAAACTTCATTTATTATACTTGGCTGTTCCTTATACAGAATGTATCACAATAGAACGTCAGAATGTTTTAGATATAGTAAGTGTAGCAATAGAGTATATTATATATTTTATTCAAGCTAAGAATCAGTGGCCACCGTCTGCATTATCAGATTGATTAAAATATGCACTCGCACACTTGTAGGCTACCTATGAAGTTTCTTGACTTGAATTGTGCATAAGTGTAAAACAGATTTTTCACTTATATTTTCTTATAGATGACAAATTTACAAGGAGATCAACAAGTTTTGGCTAACCGATTAGGATTAAATGAATTATGTATATCACAATTCTTTAGTTATGGAAAAATCAAAGTAAGAAGTTTATTTTCATTAAAATAAAAAATCGATTTTTGATAAATATTTGTATCAAATGTAATAGCTTGATTATGCTCTAGAACATAATAATTGATATATATTGTTAATTTTTATTAAGTTAAATTATTTTCATGTGTACAACTATTAGAATGTATCTGAAAGTATTTGGAACAAGTTTCTCATGAGTTTGATTTTGAACGATTTATGGAATAAAGAATCTATTTGGACAGTGTCTAAAACATACAACTTGCCAAGGGGAACAATACATTCATTCTTATCAAGGACTGCATCACATGCTTCTTCTATATTAAGATTTACTGAGGTAAATACTACTTTTAACTATAATTGTGGTGCCCAAGACATTCTTTTTAGGTTTAACAAGATATGTTTTAATATCTATTTATTTTAATTGTGTAAAAAAGTCCAATCACATGTGATCCTAGTACTTTTGCTTAATAACATACAATCTAATTAGTTCCACTTAACCTAAATATTACCAATTAATTACTATTATATTAATAATCAACTCTAAAAAAAATATTCATAACTCATAAGTATGTAATCAGAATAATATACAATAAAAACAATACAACTAAAATTTAAGTTCTAATGTTTAAGATTTAAGACTAAATATATTTATTTTATTTTATTTAAATTTTACACCTCAAAGGGTCAACTAATACTAAATAATATTATACATATTTAAAGCTAATTAAGTCACTAGAACAATTATGAACCAGAAATGGAGTTTTATTTCTTGAGTTATAAGCTGGTAGCTAAAAATTAATTTTAAGAACTCAGGAAAAAATTAATAGTTCAGAAATTAACTTAAAAATAAAAGTTACATAATTAAATAAACATTTAAAAGTTAATGATTATAAACAAAGTTTCTTAGTTATGAGTTATGACATCCAAACCCAGAACAGCCTTTCCTAATTTATATGCCATCATTCTCAAAAACTGGTGCTATATATTTTAAGTTCATCTACTATATTTTTTTTTACGATATCAGATAAAAACTCTAAATTGACCTAATTAGAGAGTAATACAATACCTTTTCACAAAAAATATTTTTAAAATCTCAACAACTACAACTGTGTAAATTAAACATTTATCGGACTGTTTAAGTTGAATTACAGTGTCTCCACATATAATAGCTGCTCCTATTTTTGAACTAATATAGATGCATTGATTTAGATCTGTGTGTGTGTGGTAGAGCTTGGGCTATGACTTCATTGAAATAGTAATTATTTAATATGGTATTTTTATCTTTTTTTGGGAGTTGCTGTAGTTTATCCTTAGTTTAATATCTAAGGATATAAACCATGGCGGCTGACTGTTGATAACGTAGGGTTTAATTTGGTCACTTAATTACTTCATTAGTGACATCTTGCAGTATTTGTTTTATTGTTGTGAACAGTGACGTAACTAGCAGCAAATGTTTGGGGTAGCGAACACTTTTATATGCTTCACCTTTTCCAATAAGCATAATGGGTGAATACCACTTATATGCATATAACTATTCCTCCTAAATTATTTAAAAATAATTATTATACTTACAGTTTTATAACACGAAAATTCACAAATAACATATTTTTTTCTTGATAACTAGGGCTCGGATTTAAATGCCCTAAAAATATCAAAAAATGCATTTATGACCTAAAAACTTTAAAAAATGCCYTAAAAATATCAAAAAATGCTTTATTTATTAAACGCACACCACCGATATAATATTATTGCTCGATAAGAAAATAATCCGATAAAAGTTTAGTTGTGTGCAATAATATCGACTAATTGGATGGTGTGACGTAAAGGTTGTAAAAACCAGAAAACCTGATGTTAAATTAGTTAAAATAGTTCAAAATGAAAATAATTTTTATTACGTAGTACTATATTACTATGTAGTACTTATATTTCAATGAGGTCWATTTTTTTAGTCATAATACGACAAATAGGTAAAAAATGTACTAAAAAATTAAAAAATGCATTAAAACCGTCAAAAAATGCCCTTAAAATGATGAAATCCGCTAAAAAAGCAAAAAATTGCACCAAAAAATTATTGTGGTTAGATTGCGAAGTACTTGAAACATATTTGTAGCTTGGAAAGCATCGCGTAAGATATCCCAAAAAAAAGATGCAAATGCATTGAAATCCGAGCCCTACTGATAACTATTTAAAGATAAATAAATAGTAAATACACACTGGCGCTGATTTTTCTTATTAAATTATATAAATAATTTTGGGGTAACAAAATGATACTCTTGCGACCCCATAAAAATGTTTGGGGTCACGATCGCTACCCCTCGCTACCCCATAGTTACACCACTGGTTGTGAAGTTGCTGCTAACAACATACAATTGAGAAATTATCCGCGTTTTAGTTATTGCGTTCTAGTGCAGGCATGTAATTCAGAGTATTACCTAGACCAAAATATTATACTAAATAACTTAATAGTTTACTGTGTGACTCGCATATAAAATTTTATCAAATATTTATTATTTTAATTCCAAAAAAATCAAATTAATAATTCCTTTTTAAAGTTTGTAATATTTGACATCTCTATTTTCTTCCACTGACTTCTATTTTGAGTGAAATTTTAAATTAATTGTTAAACAAAATTAAAATCATACATTTTTTTTACAGTTAAATGCCTATAAATATAAATATTGATAATGTTATATCAAAGGTATTGCTGTAAATAGCGTTGAGCATCACTTAACTAAAATATTAAATATTATTGAGGTTATCAGTTATACATTTTAGGCATTAAATGATAAAAAATTGGATCATTTCCCAATGTTATTTCAAAATATTGTTCCTAAACTTAACATTGGAATATTGGGAAGTTCATCAGATCTTGAATCATTAATGAGTTTGCCATCAGTGAGATTTGTAAGTATACAATTTTTTGTATTTCTATAGAAGTTTTTGTTATTCAATCAAATTAATATAAGTATTTATTATAGGGTAGAGCAACTCAACTGTATAAAGCTGGCTATAAAACATTGAATGATGTAGCGAAAGCAAATAAGAAAGAATTATGCAATGTTATTAATCATTTACCACTAAAAGTAGCTCGTGAGATGATTGCTTCTGCTAAAGTAATTTTTTAAATAAAATAAAAAGTAATTTTACTACTTATTTCGCCTTTCATGTTTAATTTTTTTTACAAAGCTTATGTTGTTGTCGGAAGCAGAAGCACTAGAAGAATTGGCTGAAAGTTTGCGTGCAGATTTAAACCAATCTATGTCAAAAAATAAAGACAATTCATTATGGTTCTAGAGTTTATCTTGCTTTAATTGCTAAACCTTTCCAACAAGAAGACTAGTCTTATTGTAGTCCACATATTAAAATCTACAATGTTACTTATGAAACTGATCAAAAGACAGTGAATTTTAAAGAAAACTTATTTTTGTATGTTTATTTTGTTTAATTTTAGTTATCAGAATTAACAATTATTTATTTATTCAAAGAGATAAATTCTCTTTTAAAATATTTCTTTATTTATTGTTTAAATTAAGTTTTTACTAATGCATTTTTACCAAACAAGTTGTACCTTTATTACTAGATTATTAAAATACTTTTATTTTTAGTTAATWGAGTTTATGATGAACATATTGAGTAACCTACCCCTCACATGCATTTAATGATAGCTTTGTAACAATATATAATTCAAAATAATTATCATAAATAATAAGTGCTTAGCACTCCCTCCCCTCCTCGCAAATAGAATCTTCAATTATCAGTTACATTGGAAAGGCCTTTGAATTTTGAATCAATTGTATGTTTAAAATGCAGATTTTTGTGAACTATTACCTGTGATAAACAACACAGTCAACATTTAACATTTATTTGTACTTTTTGATAGTTTTTTTCATATAATTATCTAACAATAATGAACCAATGTAATATTCAGAACGTTTTATTATAATAGTTATAATTCAATAAAATACTTTAATGAAGACAGAGTATTTAATTTATATTCTATAAATTATACTGTTGCTATTAAATTTGTTTGGTTTTGGACCTCATAATATTACCATTGTTACAATTTCAGCAACAAGCTTATTATTTTAATTAATATTTATATACAAATTACAAATAATTTAAACCATTTATTTAGTTAGGGCTTATTTTACACAAATACCATAGTTATGTAGAAATTCGTATACCTACAATTTATTAGCATAATATACCAGAACCAAGAAAGATAATAAATGAAAATATATATTTATAAGTATTAATATTTTATATTTATTGCAATATGGTATGATATATTACATGTAACAGAAAAGTTTTTAAATAATTTAATTTTATGAATAATACTTTATAAATAACAAATGAGTAATACAATATAATGAGCATAAACATGCAACAAAAATTACTTTATACCTATCATCTCTGAAATTAATTATAATAATTAAAAAATATTTACTATGTAGCGATGTTATAAAATAAAAAAACTCAATAGAATAAATATCTTACTGTATAGGAATGACAGAAAGGAAATTATAATTACAATTTATTTTGCAGGTGATACAGGTTTTTTTAGTGGGGTCTGCTTAAGTTGAAGAATGATAGATCTCATGCGTGTTACATCTTTACTAGCGCGACTAGATTTTGGGTTAAAATCGCAGAGTTTTGAGATGCGGTCCCATTCAGTGCCTGGCTCAATTTCATCAGATTCAGCAACAAATTGTTTCTCTGCATTTCTAGATAAAAAATCAAACGAAAGATAATATTATTATAAATAATAAAAAAAATTGAATTTATTTTGAAATTGAAAATAGTAATCAATAATCATCAATTTGATAAGTCTGAGTTGTACTACTTACATTGCAGATTCTCTATTCCAATGATGCATTTAAAGAAAATATATTTAAAAGAATATTATTTATTCATGACATTGACATAATAGTATATTTAAATATATAAGTTTATATTACCGATTCACATCTTTAGTCTTAGCAATTTGTTCTTTGTGAATTTTGTACCATTCTTCCAATTCACTTTTAGCGATCTGCCTTAATTCTTCCTTCTTTTTTTCTTCATCAGCATCTAATAACATATTCACAAAATAAATTAATTAACAAGCCATATAATTATTAAATCAATATAAAATAACACCTTTTTCTTCTAATCGAGTCTTTTGTTCTTCTCGCCATTTTTTAATTTTTTCTGGTTCTTCTCTTTCAATTTTCGGAGCATTAATTGGTGATGATGTATCTGAAGAAAAAAATAAAAATAAATGGTTATAAGTCACATAAATTATTGAAACATATTTTAACATTTATTATCATAGCCTAAAATAATAATTTACTCACAAACTTTTTTTGGAGAAACCAATTTTTTTACTGCACAGACATGTACAAAATACAGAAAAAACTATTTTTTAATTTCAACCAATCAATGATTTTACAATGTTGAATGTTTTTTTAAAAATTATTTTAGTATCTGAAGACACTTCTAATAGAAAAATGWTCTGATTATCAACTTAGGCTTAGAAGAAAGTTGTTGGTAGAAAATTTGATCTAGGTTGTATTTTCATGGGTCAAAAATATAATTTTTTCTCAGTAGTTTTTGAAATGAAAAAAAAGTTTAGAAAGTTAAATTGTTCCATTAGAAAGGTCAACTAGTCACCAAATTAATGACGATATATTGACACCTAGTTGTACAGCAAATCTATCACCTCCTTGCCTACTTTTTAAATGTAAATAGATTTAAGATATATCATCGTAATTCAAAGAGCTCTTGAGTGTGTACTGTTGCACTTAAAAATCCCAAAAAGTTTTTAAAAACTGCATTTATGTAATAAATATATATAATTTTTAAATATTAATTTGATATTTTGCTATTATAAAACAATACAAAGTAGTATTTATTTGTTATTGTATAGTGATGAATTGCTACATTTTTGTTTTTAAAGTTATTTTACAGTTTCTACTTTAGAAACAAAATAGTGCATATTGCCATAAAAATCAAAATGAGACTTTAATATTTTTGAATTAGAATTTTGAACCACACATTTATAAGAAATATTTTGTACTACACAAAAATATGATCTACTAAAAATATTTAAATGCATACAAATCCAATCCTTACTTATAAGCAATAAGTATTTTGAAATCAAAATCACACAAGTTTTATTAAAAATAAATTAGTAAAAAAATATATATTATTAAACTAAGAGAAAATTAAAATTAAAACAGCTCTGTAAAATAAATAATATTTTCTCTTCATTAAATATTTATAATTCGTTTTGATATTAATTTTTTATGTGATTGAGAACCTACTCAATGACATTTTAATTTCAATTACGTAATATTAGAAATAAATTCTTTAAAATAATAGGCTCTTTAAAATTAAATTATTAACATTCAAAACAATCATTTTAACTGAATGCAATATACCAAAATAAACTTAGAAATATCCATAGATTTATGACAAATTAGCAACATTTTACTTACCATCATCACTATTTGTAGCTGTAAACCCATTGGTTAATCCATTTTCTAGGTCAAAGGAAAAAAAAAACAAAACAATAATAAAACAACACTTGCAAATAATATTGATAGAAAAGCATTACAGAAATTGGCCTAACTAGACTTAATAGATGCTTAGGGATTAATTAAATAACACAAATTATTAATTAAAAATAAATGATTGATGTAGTCAATTAGGATATACTTCAAAGAATAAATTATAACTATGGTGTTCTATTAACCCGAAGCTATCTAGTTGTGCCAATGATTCTATGTAAAAAAAAATTAATAATGGCTCCAATTTATAATTAATATTTTACATTTTATCACAGTGATTATTAATAGAAAGATTAAAAAATAAATATTTTAAAATTTTCATGAATTTTAATAGCATAAATTGATTAATGATTTTAACCAATTATACTATGTATGTTTTCTTATTCTACAAAATTTATTTTATTGATGTATATATATATATATATAAATGGTTTAATATCAATCAAATATCTAATTAGAAAAATAGCTTTTAATACTTTAATGTTATTAATTCTTTTATTAACAATCAACTTAAAATAAGTCATATAAGTTATAAAATAATAGTCACATTATAACAGACAATTAGTTTTTACTTCACATACATAACTTTTCATCGCTAATAAAATTATGTGCTGAAAGGTTTAATTGTTGATTTAATTTCAAGACTGAATTTGGTTATGTATATTATAAATTAACCATCATAAAAATTGATTTAACCATTGAAATGTCAATTTAAATGCTAAAATTTACTTTAACTTTGGTAAATTTATTTGAATGAACTATAAATCTGACAACTCACCAATCACAGGGTTAGTTAACTGGTTTTCGGCGCTATCAATTATTTCAAAGCTGCTTCCTGAACCTAATCATACATACGATACATAACATGCAAAAAAATATACATATTTAAAGGTATGGATAAAAAGCTTCACAAAGCAGGCAATTGACAACTATAATAAATGTATTTTGCTAGTCATGATTACTAGTTGTTACCGTTTGATAATGTTTGGGTGACACCGATCGGAACGTTGGATGTATTGAGATCGTCTTCCAAGCCTGCTAATTGAGTCTGTTCACGAGCCAAAAATTCTGCGGCTGGATCGACGTCTCCGTCATCGAAATTGTCACCAAAGTTGTCCATCACTTCTATAACTGTACGAAATAAAAACAACAGTTATGAGCTAGATAGGTAAAGTTTTAGAGCAGTGAAAATTATGAAAGGCCAGAACCGACTGAACCATGGACATATGATGTATGTTCATGGACTGAACTATTATAGTATTTAGAGATAAGAATATAAGATAACGACGACAAATGTATCGAAATGAAACCGCCATTAAAGGCGTATTTCGATATCGAATTCCCCCGTCGATCAACGATGACGTGTAAAAATAGTTGCAGACTTACGTTCTGAAATCCGTCCTTCTGTGTAAATCATAGAATAGAAGATATATATATAAATAGAGGATTAGCGCTGAGAAACTGTTTGCAGTTACCCGTATCGACTTTGGGTTTTTTTTGAAAAACTGCAGGAAAAAAATAAAACAGTGTGGGTCAGTGCCCAGTGGACTATTGGGGTCGGGACTTAATGGTTTAATGATAAAACGAAATATGAATGTCGGGTGGCAGTCAACAGAGTGAGGCACGAGTGTAATAACTAATAATAATAAGGCAGTGGTCACTGATCAGTTAGCACTGGGTAGTGGGCAGGATTACAACAGTTGTAGCCAGCAAGATTAGACAAGAAGCCTGCCGATTGGCGATTGTTGATATTACTGTTCTATAATATTACCAAATAATATTATAAATTTATAGTTAAACATGATAAAATTATAACGTATGATAGCAACGAATATTCACCACATAAAAAAGAGAATTTTGTCTGTGCTATATCGTTTTTATTTTTTCGATATCAGAACTACAAAAAAAGTTATTCGTGCTTAAAAAACACAAAATTAATGTATTATACAACAATAAGAATTTTTTTTGTATAAGTGATATCGAAAAAATAAAAATGATATTGCACAGACAAAATTCTCCTTTTTATGTGGTGAAAATTTCGTTTCTTAGTTATAACTGTATCTTTCTCGGTTCTTTCCCGCGCGAAACAGTTTTTGCAATGTTACGCACTTGAAAGACGGAGACAACACATGCGGGTGAAACGTCCTCTTAAGTCTGTATACCAATATTATTGTCATATAAACATATTATATAATCATGAGAACCAATGAAAAGTGGTGAACTGGATATACGGTCGGCGGGGTAATGAGTATGCCAATTGCCAATCATCAAATTTCCATCATAGTCGTCATACCATGTTCTTTTATCTTTATCATGTACGTAATATCACGACAAAACGGATTACGGAATACGGATGAATAATACCATTAATTAATAATTATTATTGAATAATGAATAGTCTTTTGAATTTTGATTGACTATTACTTTACTTTATTCAAGTATTTCTTATTAAAAATAATAATAATAATGTTAATGATATTGTATCTTGGAGGAACATATTATTTCATCAATAAGGAATTCTAATGTCCAAATTCACAACCTAATATTTTCTTTGTGAAAAAATTTGTTAGAGCACAAACACATACATACGCCAAACTCTTAAATCTGAATTATGCTTCATATTTTCATAAACAGAGCTCCTTAAATCTGCACTAATTATGAAGCAGCATTTACTTTGTCTTGTAAAAAATATCCAATAGGATGTTTCTATTTCCCATTTAGACAAACTTCCACGACTATAATTCTTCATTAACTGTTGTCTTAGTACCTTCAATGTCTAAAGAATTTCCATAATCACAATTACATACAAATCTGTTCAGCTTCTCGTCCCAAATTATTTGTTTTTTAATCGAAATGGCATTCAAAATAATTTTACAATTTTCGTCTTCAGGAGCCAAAGACTTTAAAGCATTTAATATTTCACAAATAAATCCAGATTTTGCATTTATGGATATTGGATAAAGTCAAATTTGAAATTTTCAATAAATTTCTTGTAGCTACTTAAATTTTTCATATCCTTGTAACTAAAAGTAAGTTGAAGATATTATAATCAAACAGTATACATAGAAAATGAAAATATATTATGTAAGACTAAAAAAGCATTAAATTCTATGTTTTATTAATTTTTTATGTATAATACATAATATGTACTAATTGTATTTATTATTATGTGCATTTAAAGCCAATGTTTTAGTTATAGGACTAATTTTTAATGTTATAATTAACCTTGCTTTGAACATTGAAAAATACAAAACTATATTTTTATGTATATCAAACAAAAAACAGCAAGTAATATGTTCATACAGTACATAAGAATTAGCTTATTAGCGAATAGTAATTTAAAATTGAAGCAAATTCTTTTATTTCTTTACAATAATATCTACATCTCATCGCATTTATATTTATATTTTTCATCATATATTGTACAATATCATTAGGAACTCCATCAATGAACTTTTAATTTTTTAAATCAGTTAAATAATTTTTTGTCATTTTACTTTTTGCTGAAGTGATTTAATTTTTTTTAAGACATATTTTTGAAGGACTTAAATCACAGAAATGAAATAACAACTACTTATTTTTTTATGGTAAATTAATACGGTAGACAGCAATTTCTTTTAAAGGTGCTACTTGTATGGTAATGGGTACTTCAAATAGTATATTTAATTCTAATTGAGTATTATTGTCTTTTTTGACGCTGAATAAATCACGGCTGCAAGATGGTAAAAGGTACAATAATATCTTTTATTATTTATTTATTTATTCACTGATATTTTATTTTGAAATTCTGGCTTTGATATTTTTACTCTAGACTGTAGTCTGATTMTGCTTAAAAAAACTCCAGAGTTACCATTAATATTAAGTTCAATTATAAATGATTATTCAGAAGTTGATATGCGATAGTTGGTTAAAATTTAAAAATATGTATATAAAAAAATCAATATAAGTTAAATGCATGAAAAAAAATTATAAAGGGAGCACAGCCAGCTAACCTGCAGAAAAATGTGTCAGAGAAAAAAAATTAAATTAAATTATATAATTAGGTAGGTATACTACAAATTATACTCCATAATCTTATTTTTAAACCCTAAAAATACTAAAATTAATCATAATTATTGATTCATTGAAGAAAGTTAATCCAGATGTCATCAGATGGTTAACATGTTAGAATGTATATACATATAAATTAACATCAATATATCGGGATGGTAAAATTGTATTAGTATTTCACATTTTAGATTTAATAACTTAACTATATATAATATTTTATTCACATAATTCTAACATGGATTGTACAGACATTGGAGAAAAATTTATTCCATCTTGGCTAACAAATAAAACTCCACGGTCAATAAATGCTTGAAGCCTTGCTCCACATCTATATACTTGTTTAGCTTCTCTAAACCGACCCGAAATAGGCATCCATAATATACCTCGTTCTTCGCAACGCTTTTGCACTAATTCTTTAAAGCCATGAGGCATTTGTGATGCGGTACGTACAGCTTCAGCTAGACCACCCTAAAAATATGTAACATAAAATACATACCAAAATCCTTAAAATTATAATAATTATAAAGTATAAACCAATTACCTAACTATTAACCAAGGCTCATGAGTTCATGCCCTAAAAATACCTTAACAAGCACTTATTTGTTCACTAAAAATTGGTAAAATAAACATTGAAATATTTCTTTAAAAGTTCAGAAAAATACATTGATATACACTAAAATTGTGCAGATTAAAAAAAGAAGAACTAAAAATTAATTTTTGAAATAGACATTTTCATTCATAATTTAAAAGTTTATTTTTAATCCTTTGACATTGTTTCCATACATTAAATACAGTGAAAAAAAGTATTATTCATAGTATTTTAATGAAAAAATGTAACAATGTTAATGTAATGGTAATATGATGAATAATGTGCCTAAGAAAATTGAAAAAACACTAGATATAAGCAGAAGAATGTAAAATAAAACATATATTCTTAACCAAGGTTTCTTGCAACGGATATATATGTCATCTAACATTAAATACAACTAATTAAGTTGTTGATATGCAAATTCATGAACTTACAAGCCCTGGTAATAATTTAATAATATTGTTTGATGTTTGTCCATCTTATAATATAAACTATTTACATGAATTGTTGGTGGTGGCGGTGGTTGTGGCATAGAAGGTCCTCCAACTGCACGGCTCATTATATCTAAAGCAGAATGAAACCTCCCTTTAATAGTTGGATGTTCAACAATAACAGCAGGCATTAAAGACTTCCATCCTGTATACCAGTTGCTTATTTGTTCATGGTTGGGATTCATATTTATCCACATAGTAAGCGTTTTAAGCCAATTTGGAAAAAAGTGTTGGTCTAACAATTCCACTAATGTAGGTAATGGTAATACATCTGACCAAGCATTTACCCAATTCCAATTGTCTGAAAAATATAATTWAAAAAAAAAAATTACTGTCTCAATAATCATTTTTAAAACTTTAGAAGTTACCTAATTGTTGATGATGTGGGTTAATAACAAAAGTATGTAGAGCAGCTTGTAATTTAGGAACAATATTTTTAATTAGAAAAGCTTCCATGTAACCTTTCTGAAAAACTTTTATCCATGGTTGGAGCATTAACTTAGCAGAGTTGTCAGATGGATGCCAGGCATTTAATGCTACACTTAATTTTTGTCTCAGTGWAGGATAAACAATCGTTTCAAAATGTTCACCTATTTATTTTAACAATTAAATTGTAATTTTGTTTGATATTCTTAATCTATTTAATAATTAATAATWAGTACTAAAATTGATTTACTTAAATATGGCAACCAAGGGTGAATCCACAAATGGATTGGTACAAGATCAGTTAATGGATCCCATTGTTCCACTTCCAACTGGATTTGTGGTAAAATCATATTTTCAAGAACTTGATTAATTATGTTAGGTGGAATTAATTCAGCTGACTGTTCAATAAGTTTCAACATACTATTATAATCTCGACATTTCCATCGCCTTAAAAAAATGTTGAAAAAACCACATTATAAAACTTAAAACACAACTTTGTCATTGATAKAATAGTAGGATCACAAATTAATATTCATAGAGGGCCACTTTAGAAATCCAAGGAGTTTTTTGGAGCCATGTTTACAAGTTAAATATACATGTTCGTAAAAATAGGAAAAAAAAGGGAACACTCAATAATAAAATAAAAACATAATTTAATTCACCATCAAAAATAAATATCCTGACTGCTAGGCAGATAAAGTTTGACAACAATCTGCATATGGGCGGGGCAGACATTAATTAGTGAACCCCTGATTTGACTTAGGAGTTTAGAACAATAAAAAAAAAAATGTATTCTTCTTTAACCAACATTATAATTACCTGCATGCTTTTTGAACTTGAGGTATCCACTCTTGCCAAATTAATGTTTGAAATTCGTCACTTGATTGAAAATTAACAGCACATGGCTCATTTAAAGTTAATAATTCTTTCCATTTATTGAGTTCTTTAAAAGGCATAGTTGGATCTAGCAATGGGTCCCACGTAGAAAGCATTTCTTTTATCAATATTTGAGAAATTGATAAAGCAAAAACTAATCCACCATTTAGTCGATAATCTGGGTAGTAATTTTCCTCAACAGTAAAAAATTCAACTAAGCATCATTTTAAAGAAAATATTTATCGTAGTATTTTCTAACTTACTTTCATTTCTGTACAAAGTTTTATAGCTTGTCTACTATCTAACATATTTTTTTTTAATGCATCATTGATAGATTCCATGATAATTATCATTTTTTCAAGAGATTCAATTGAATTATTTTGTTCACTTATATTTTCTCCTAATTTCTTAGTTTCTTGTTCAATGACAATAAGCCGATCCTCCGATTTACAAAGTTCTTGATTGTTAGTAATAATGTTCTGTAATACAACCAAATGTTTTTATTATATCAAAATCRTATAAGTGTATGAAGTGATGAAATTTTGTATACTTGTTCGGCTATTTCGACTAATAGGTTGAGATTGTGTAATAATTCAGGTACATCAAAATTTGAATATTTTTTATCTTTTCGAATCTCCCACTGATCTGTTGGTTTTTTAACACCTGATATAGCATGATATCCAGATAAAATTCTTTGTTCTGGACCAGTCATATCAATTACTTTTACCCTACTTAGTTCACTGAAAAATGAAAATAAATTTTATAATTGTACAACTTATGATGCATTATGATTTTTTAAATCATTATTATCAATACATATAAATATAAAATTAGATTGAGTGGCTGATATAATTATGAAAAGATTTTCAGTACAAATGAATAAAAATATTACAAAAATAGTGCAATAATTGTACTTGAATTCTCGTTTTCTTTGCCCTGGTTGTTTGCTTTCCTCAATTACTTCCTCAGCAGTTTTATAATTATAATGGAGTTTTTCAGCTTTAAGTGCTTTTCTCCAACCACTCACAAGAACTTTGTTATCTTTTGATTTATCTGCTGTTTTTTCTACTTTCATTGGTTTAGTTTTAGACTCAGGACCATACGCACCTAAAAATAATGTTATTGACTGTCAGCATAAAATACAAATATTAGTTTACAATTATTTATTACCAATTGCTCCTCTTCCTTTTCTTAAATTTGCTTCGATTGGAGCCAGAATACCTTGAAGTTTTTTTCCTAAACCATGACCCGGTTGGTAACCCATCTATAAAGTATGAAATTATAAGTTATATTTTTAAATAATATGACATATAAAAAATAAAATAAATATAAATTACTCCAAGCAACAGTTTTGCACCAATTCCTTTTGTATGTTTTTCCCAATCACCTAATCCTTTGTTTATTAGTCTTGAGTTTACTTGAGATTGTTTTTTTCGTAATCCTGCCAATTCTTGATCAATATCAAAACTAAATGATGGTTTTTCTTCATCACTATAATTATATATTAATAAAAATATTAAATATACAGGAAAACAAATTTATCATTCATCTTTCAAACCTAGATGCAGAGATATTATCTTCTAAATGGTGCGACTCATTAGCTTTTTTTTCTTCAGTTTTAATTTCTTTTTTATCTTTGCCAGCCTGTTGAACTCCTCCAGCCACAAATGAGACTGGAGCAGTGTAGTTTTGTTTGTATTTCTTATCTTTATTTCTACGACCCCCAAAACCTGAAGGTTCATCATCGCTATCATTACCTTCTTCATCAGCCCAAATACCTAAATAATAAATAATATTTAATTCAATACAAAAATAATTTCCATGTAGTTTAAATTAAGTTATAAAATACAATGATATTATAAAACATAATTTTATTTTTGATTTTAGTAGCTTGTGTTTGAAAAATTATATATAATATACCAAAATAATATTAGAAGTAAGGCAGTATTTATAGGTATACTAGGTATGTATATTGTATAATTTCATAGGATAATTACTATCCTTACTCTTCTCTCCAATATCAATTTTGAAGTACAATAAATAATTGAATACATTTTCAAATATTAAAATTAGGCTAAACAACCAATAATGTCTTAAGTATACTTTAATATGCAAAATACATTTTTTCCAATAGACTGTGATATTATACCTATGCTAGAAATGTATTGTTTTTTGTAAATATTATTAGATAATACTGTAGATAATTAATAGGATATTATACCGTAAATTGCTTGATTTTTGGTCAGTCGTCGTTGAGGTCTATTCATATTAAATTCATTGTCCAAATCAAAATCAGTAATTTCGAATTTTTCCATTTCATCGTCAGACATTTTTAATTGAATACGTTTATGTAATTAATATGTTTTTATAATTTTATAATATATATTCGGCTATTCGGCAGCTCCAGCTCCAGCATTCAGATTTCAGATAGCAAGAGCAACCGTATAAGCACGTATAACTGTAATACTATAATATGGTAAACAGTAAACACAGATATTATTATATTATTATTATCTATATCTGTGAAGGTAAATAATAATATCATATCCATGAACATTAGAGTACTCTATGTCTAATGTTCATGATCATATCATTCATATCCATAGACCTTATACAGTATTATATAGTATAAGGTCTATGTTCATATCACAGAATAATGATAATAATATGTCTAAGGATAAATTTGAAGTTACGAACGATATTATCATTATAATATATCTTTTAATATTGAATATTGATCATCTTTATTATTTAATTGTGATCGTGGTTGAAACTTTGAAAGTTTGAATAGTTTGATATTGATACCAGGTCATAGACTGATAGACTTAAAGTTAAGTTAGTTTAATCTAAATTTAGTACATTTCATATTTTGGTGCTTGCTTATATTATAAAATAAATACCTACCTGCTAAAATATTAAGATTCAAAAAATTTCAAAATAGTCGAAAATGGGATTATTAAAACCAGGAATCAAATCTCGATTGGAGTCCGTCACTGAGTTTGTTAAAACTTCTTACCATGTCGCCTTTATTCCATTTGTGATATACATGGGTATGTTATTTTTATAGTACAAATCATTAAATTTTGAACTATAATAGACGTTTTAGATGTCTATAATATAGTCAGTTAACTATTATCATGATGTTTCGTTAAGTTTTGTAGTACCCCTTATGGTAATAGGTTCAAAGGTTAAGAGAATGTTATACCCACATGTGTTTTCTCCGTCTTACAATTGGTGTGTAACAGCAAATATGATGTTCAGCATATCAAATTAAGTTCTGTTACCTTAAAAATTAGAGTGAATTGACCTCTTATAAAATTAAAAGGTAAGAGTATTATTTAGACAACCTTATGGGCTTTTAAATATGTTTTAATTTTGAAGTAAGTTAAAGGTAAGTATTTTAAAATTGTAAATTGTACATCTTAAAATATTTATTACTCACTTCAAGATTAAAATATAATAAAAATCTCATGAGGTCGTCTAAATAATACTCTTAACTTTTAATTTTTCAACATCAATTCACTCTAGTTTTTAAAATAATAAAGCTAAACGAGATTTGCAGAGCGTAAAATTTGTTATATTATGCAGTATGCACTTCCTAATGCGGGTTTAATATCCTCTTAAGAAGAATATAAATAAAAATATTGGATTTAAGGCTAAAATGTAGTTATTTTCTTTGAAAAATATGTAACAAACTTTAGTTACTATACTACACATCTATAAACTAATTGAAGTAAATAATTGTTATGTAAATAAATATTTTATTTTATTAATCATTATTATGACATTTTAAAGGTTTCAAAAAAGGACCAGAAGTTGGTGGCCCTGCGTTTGGACTTTTAAGGTATCTAATATTGAATATTAAAATTTTAGATGCAAAAATAAATATTTTATTTTATTAATCATTATTATGACATTTTAAAGGTTTCAAAAAAGGACCAGAAGTTGGTGGCCCTGCGTTTGGACTTTTAAGGTATCTAATATTTTCTTTTATATTAATTAAATTCTTTATATTTTGTTTTACAAGTAAACATAATATTGTGTTTTTTGTTCAATAATAATAATGATTTTTATAAAATGTTAATTTTTAGCCTCCTGTGGCAGTAATCTAGAAAAAATTCTTCTATCAAGACACATTCATGTATTATTTAAAAAAATAATAATTTATACATTAATTTGTGTTTTATATTAACTAGTTAAATATCATACTTCTTAAACTTAATGTTTTAAAATAAATTTATTAAAATGTGATTAGTGTATTATTCAATAGTTTTATTTATCAATTGTAATTTGTAAGTTTGTAACATAACTATGTACGATGTAGGTACTCACTGTCTTTATATTCTTGACACGTTAAGAACACAATTCAACATCTAAAACCTTCTCCCCGGGTTATTATCTAGACTAACCTAACCCTAGTATTTGAGTAGTGAGTTGTGTCATAGTGAGTACCTACTTATATATGGCTATATAGGTACCTATAGTATACCTATAGTTTTATTATTAAGAGGACGTCTATCCCGCATGTGTTGTCTCCGTCTTACACACGTACGACATAGGAAATGTTCAAAACAATAGTAGGTACCTATCTCGTATAATTTTTAAGTTATAACCAGGGTTCGGATTTTATAGCATTTGCTACTTATTCTAGGATAGAGATAAAAATAGCAGAGTGGGATGTAAATTTGTTTAATGCACCACGGACTCTAAATATGAAATTTTATTTTGCTAYTTTTTGCATATTTGAAGAATTTTAGAATTTTAGTGCTACTTTTAAAGTTTTGGTGCCATGTTTTGCTAATATTCTTAATTCAACGCTTTATTTTATATTTTTCATAAATCTCG